CTCTGTAGCATGTTCTGAAACAAACACAATAGATAATCTTGTTTATAAGTAAAAAAAAAAAAGCTTGTAATGTTTATGACTTCCTACTCCTATTGGGTTTGGATTGTGGTAGTTCTTTAAAAACAAAACAATGCCATTTCTTAATTGTATGTTAGTAAGTAAAACAAATGCATTCCTATATAACAGTAATTTGTCCTGCTTCCTTTGAATTTCTAAATGAGTTATATAGGTTTTTATTTCACAAGAGCCACTTTTCTGCATTCTTCAAATATAAGAATGTTTAGTAAGAAACCGCCATCTCGAGGCTAAATGGTTTACTTTAGACTATGCATTCATGAAAGTACATTATCAACCTCTTTCTACTTTCTGTGCTCCCTAGTGCGAAAATTTAACCTTCTTTTAAACAATGACTACAACAGTAAAACAGCTTAGGATGTCATATTGAAAACAGCGAACACCTTGGTGGGCAAATTTCTCTTTAGAAACCGATGTTATTTTATCTGGAATATTTGAGATTGAAAGAACTGTGACTGAATGACATATATTCATGATCTTTTCAAACCTAGATATTTTTGCACTGGAAACTCAGTTGTAAAGGGTTTGTAACTAGAGTTTTTCTCACTAACAAACACTATTCATGCTTTAGCCATCCAAGGCACACCATGTTATCTCATTGGAAAATGTTAAATTCGTGGTTTATGTGTCAAAAGTTAAGAGCGAGTGGAGTCCTTCTGTGCCTTGACAATTTTGAACAGAAGCAAAACTAGATTTCAAACAGAAAGGATGGAGAAAAAAGGAAGAAGTTTGGTTAGGCTTTCTTTCCCAGTTCCTCATCATCACTTTAAAGCAGGGGTCTCCAACAGAGGTGGGTTTCAGCAGATTCTGACCAGTCTTGGAGAACTGGTAGCGGAAATGTTGAATAGTTTGGAAAACTGGTAGTAAAAATTCTGACTGGCTCAACCCCCATCTATTCTCTGCCTCCCAAGTCCCAGCTGATCGGGAGGAAATGGGGATTTTGCAGTAACCTTCCCCTGGATTGGGGAGCGAGTGGAGATTTTACAGTACCCTTCCCCTGCAGTGGGATGGGAATGGAGATTTTACAGTACCCTTCCCCTGAAGTGGGATGGGAATGGAGATTTTACAGTATCCTTCCCCTGCCATGCCCACCATGCCACGCCCACCAAGCCACACCCACAGAACCGGTAGTAAAAAATTTTTAAATCCACCATTGGTCTCCAACCTTGACAACTTTAAGCCTGGAGGACTTCAACTCCCAGAATTCCCCAGCCAGCAAAGCTCCAGGCTTAAAATTGCCAAGGTTGGAGACCTCTGCTTTAAATAATCCTTTTGGTGTAACCTTCTGATATTGAACATCAATTTGGAAGGAAAATAGCAAGGAGTAATTTAGCTGGTCTACTCCCTTTTTCAAATTTCCCAGCTTATCTTTGCTTGTTAGCATATGCAGATCTTCTAGGCCAAGGATGTCAAACTGGCGGCCCACAGGCTGGATGCGTCACAGCACAGGCCCCACCCACTCCAGCTCCATGAATGGGAAAAATGTTGTGAAATGTCATGTGACCGCAACATGACGTGGTGAGTTTGACACCCGTGTTCTAGGCTCTTTTCAACTATGTCAGTGGTTTCTGAAGCATATGAGCAGTTGCCTCCAAGTTCTGTTTATTGCTCATTAGAAACATGTCATAAGTAAAGGAATAAGACATTCAGTAGAGTATAGCATTTACAGTAATGTAAGAAGAAAATAATCATTCATGTAATGTCAAAATAATACATTTATGTTCTAAGAATATTGTCAGATGAGGCCATACCATCTGTCGCTTTAAAACATATTGGAATTTTTTTTCTGCTGCTACAGCAGCATCCAGTATTTTCAGAAAGATCTGCAAACAACTGTAGTAGCTTTACAACTGTCTTCAACTTAAATTGCACTGCCTTCTGTAACAAATCCTTTTAGTTTCTGAATTATGTTTTTTCTGAACTGATTTTCCTAGACTTAAAAGCAGAAGTAACCAGCCTAAGACATGGGGTGTGTGAATTCCTCTGATCTAAAAACTGCTTTGTAGTCTGCTAACATACATGTTCCAAGCCAAACATGTCATAGCACGGCAATTATTTTCTGATGCTCTGCTGCTGCTTACTTAAGCCCAGATGGGACAGTTTTATTTACTTAAATTGATAAATAAAGTTTATGAAAAACTATTGCTATTGTGTGCCTAAAAAATCTAAAGGAAAAACTATGGCAAAATGGCAGAATCAAAGTATGCCTGTATCTTTCTTTATCAAAAGGCATACATAAAAATGGTTAAAATACTTCTATACCAGTCCAAGGTTACTTCTGAATTATCTTTGCGGTTGTACACTTAATCAAGTTTTAATGCATGTAGAGCCCTAAGCATTTTGAACAGAGGACATTGATACAAACAGGCAGCAATTCAAAATGGACACAGCAGTGTCCTTCATAATATGTAACCTTGGATGTTCCCTTTGTTTATATTAGCTCTACCATCTTGGTCAAAAAAAGAAAGTAGGGAATTGAAATATTTTAGAGACATTGTTCATATGGATTACTGGTTCAATAGTGTTTACTATTAATAGCAATAGCACTTAGATTTATATACCGGTTCACAGTGCTTTACAGCCCTCTCTAAGAGGTTTACAAGGTCAGCATGTTGCCCCCAACAATCTGGGTCCTCATTTTACCCACCTCGGAAGGATGGAAGGCTGAGTCAACCTTGAGCCTGATGAGATTCGATCTGCCAGACTGCTGGCAGTCGGCGATCAGCAGAAGTAGCCTGCAGGACTCACTCTAACCGCTGCACCACCGGGGCTCATTAAGTATAGGTACATAGGATTACATCCCAAAGCTTGCCCTGCAATAAAGTATTCAAGATTAACACCCCCAAAGTTATTTTTAACATATTAATCTGCATTTGCATACAGTTTACGTGCAATGGTTGTAACACAGCTGTGGGTTTGTCTTCTCTTAAAGGAGCTATTTAGAAGTAGTAGAACTACTAAGAGTAGAAACTGAACCAATAAATTCAATAAAGTTTTGATGTATCAGACTACATGAGACTTGCTAAGTCATAGTGACCATTTGTGGAATATTCACTACCAATCTACAACTGGCAATTACTATAAATTCATACAGTCGTCTTCTGCAGGTATCAGAAAATCGGTAGGATCAAAGACCGCCTTCTCATTAATTAATTAATTAATTTACTTGTGTGTGAGGGGGGGGGAGGGAGGGAGAGAATAAGATTTGTAGAGTTGTGATAACATGCTAAACTAATGTAAATTATATGGTTTAACATGGTTTGTAAATAAAATTACTTGGTAATATAGCCACCTTGTTTTTGATAGAAGAAAGGACGAATCTAAATGCAATAAATAAATAAGATTTTCCCCCACAGGCTAAAAAGATTCTCAGATAATATGTGAATCAATCTCTTCCTTCTTTGAAACACTGTGTAAATATTTTTGTTAGCCTCTATTTTATCGATGGGGGATTCTATATAAGCCAAAACAAAAATGTTAAACTAAATTCCTAGTGATTTTTTAGAACTGATAAACAGTATGCATGCAACTTCATAATCCTGTGTTGGTTCAACATCCAACCAGTCTGAAGTTCTTGAAGTGTGCTTAATGTAGCATCTTAATCCAGAATTCTAAAGAGACCGTAGAAAGAAGCCTGAGAAGTAAACCAGCTAGCATCCCTATGGATATTTCAATATAAGTGTTTGGAAACAAGGAATATGAAGCCTAAGTTTGGAACGGAGTTATTTTTATTAAAAAGGTACATCATGGTACATATTATAAGCCTTTTACATATATCGTTTTGAAGTGAGCTTTAAAGAGCTTAGTAAGCTTGTTGTTTCTGCAGTTGTCCTATATTTGTGCAGACGCTATATGGTAATTACTTGGAGTTACAGAATAGGATGATAATTACTGTAATTCTTGTGTAACTGATCGGTATGCAAGTTAAGCCTGCCCTTTCAAAAGCTTTTGCTCATAAGCATTCATTCATTCATGCATTTGTTCATTCGTGCGTTAGCTTCTCCCATTCATTTGTTTACTTTTCTGACCTATATACTTTGTCCTTTAAAACAGAAATACCCTTTCTCTAGCTCTCTAATCTAGAAGATAGAAAAGTTTTCTACTTGGGCTTGACAATAATGTGATTTTGGCTATTGGGAAAGGAAGCTATATTTTGTTTGTTTGTTTGTTTGTTTTTGGAGAGGGAAATTCAAATGGTGAAAAAAAGGGGGAACTAGTTAATAATTGTTTAAGTTGAATTTAGAGGTCATAAAATGCTACTCTTGATTCTGAAATAAAAAACTGATAATGCTGGCTATTGATGCACATTAATAAATTGGTTTTATTCATTGTTTATACTGTATACTGCATGGATCAGAAAGAGCTGAGAAAATGTCAAAAGACCCATCACATCCTGAACATAAACTGTTTCAACTCCTGTCCTCTGAATGCCACTATAGAGCATTGCATGCCAAAACAACTAGACACGAAGACAATTTTTTCCCTCGTGCCATCACTCACCTGAACACCTAATTACCACAGCACTGTCTTATGTCTAAGGATATTTACCCATGTAAAGGCTATTATCCTTCTAATCTTTTCTACTACCTTCTCCATTGGTATTTTATGATGATATACTTTGTTGTTTGCATGTACACCGAATGCTTATACACTGGAGACAAATTCCTTGTGTGTCCAATCACACTTGGCCAATAAAGTATTCTGTTCTGTTTATTAAATGAGGGTTATTTAGTAGTAAAGTTTCTTAGGAATATGAGAACTATATTGTATCTAACTAAAGGTTATCTAGCTCAGATTGAATTCTGTTACATTGCATATGTTATATTATACTGGCTATTTCCTTTTAGGAAGAAAGATCATTTATGTTATCTAACTTTTACAAATATATTATAAATATATTTTTCCTTTGTATTTTTCCTTTGTAGTATAACAAACACCTCTTTGTGCACATTGGACATGCCAACCACTCTTATAGCGATCCATTGCTGGAGTCAGTGGACATTCGTCAAATTTATGACAAATTCCCTGAAAAGAAGGGAGGCTTGAAGGAACTGTTTGGAAAAGGACCCCAGAATGCCTTCTTCCTAGTAAAATTTTGGGTGAGTAAGATATTAAGCAAATATTGCCTGAGTTTTATCCATGTGCATCTTTAGTTTTGTGTTTTCTGAATCTTAAAATAAACTTGGCTGGTATACAGTAGGTAGATGGAAGTACTTTTCTCTCTCTCAAGGAACAATTCAGTCTTACCCAGAGACATGACAATAGATTCCAAAGGACATAGAAGGCACTTCACTTGGATTGGCTACTCACGATGTATTAAAGGCTATAGCTGAAGTGGTTTCTAAAAGAACAGACATATGGAAGACAAGTCCACTACTATATTTTAGTCATGATTGGAAGAAATGTTTGTTCCTAAGAAGCAATAGTAGGAAAGGGGCTGTTATCTTTGGGCTCTGTTTGGGAACTTTTTGGAGGAATCTGGGTGGCTAGAATAGAATATTAGTCTAGAAGGATTTCTGCTATAATGAAGAGGCAGTGTGGTATAGTGTTAGGGCATTAAGGTCTTGAATTAGGAGGGGAGGTTCATGTTTAATATCAGCCATGATACTCACTGCATTATTTTGGAAAAGCCACTAGTTCGTAGTGCAGCCTTCATCTCAAATTATTGTGATTGGGAAGAAAAATGGAGGAAGAGGTGGTAGAGATGTCACATTAAGTTCCTGAAATCATTTATTACAAAAATCCAGTGATTATAATATTTGTTATTATCAAGTCTTACCAAATTATCCAATGCCACAGATCATCCATTTGATACAATACATTTTAAACTTTTGACCCAAAATATATATTTACCAATGTTTTAAATATATACTAAAGTTTTACCAAGATAACTTAGGATGCAAATCGGTTATATAGTACTCTGGTTTGACATCCTATTCCAAAACTGAAATGGCATATATTATTTTTTGTCTTTGTTTCACAATTGTAGTATGAGCAATTTTCAGTTTCAAAATCCCAACAGGTCCTGGAAATATATGGACAATTTGCAGCTATTTCTAGAATATTATTTTGGCAATATATTTTTAGAAGAATATGCTCTATATAACCAACAATATATATGCAAATCCATTTTAATGCAATCACATTGGATGAATGGAATAGATAGTCAACTGCTAAGCAGGCCCCAATTTGTAAGAATTCATCATTGTAAAGATTGTTCATTGTAAAGAAGATCTATAACTTTAGAGTTTTATTCCCTTGTACTTTTTCAAACCATTTTCCTAGCCACCTTTAAATTTTACTTCTCCTATAGTCTTGTTTCTAAGAATTTTTGTCTTTTTCCCCATATGAATGATAATTTACTGAACTGGACTATCTATGAAATGTATTTCTTTGGTAGTATGCTTCAGTGATGTAAGGTGTCTACTTCAGCTTTTCATTATATTTTAGAAATGTGAAACCCTCTTTGGAAGATGAATGTTATATCAGAAGGTGTTAATAGAGTGCAGCTACATTTCAGGGAAGAGACACTGTAGCCAAGAGGTTAGATTAAAAAAAAGTAATTAAGCTAAGAAAAGTATTTGACACATCACATTAGCTGCTCAAACCTTAGATTAACCTATTTTGCTAAGTACAGCCAAGCACACATTGGCATCCCTACTGTTAATGCATAATTAGGCGATCATCAGAAAATTGAAAATAGAATAAAACAGCAGAATAACACAGCTATTCAATTACTCAAGTAGGGATGGCCAGGAGGGAACAATCCACAAGATTTGACAGTTGGCATGGTATAGGAGTGCATGCAGAAGTTTGGATGTGGTATGTAAAGGCGATCCAGTAAAGAATATATGTAGCTCAGAATTGAACTGTGGAATAATTGGTGCTCCCTGAGCTTGATTGTTTGCTTGCAGACATTTCATTACCCAACTAGGTAACATCATCAGTGCTAAGAAGTGTGGGATTTACTCCCTGTTTTTATATAGCTTGCCCTGCCGATGTTGGTGGAGATGTTGCTTTCTCCTTGGTAGTTCCTTGATTAGGCTGTTGTTTACTATTTAATTGTTTGTCTGATGTTAATCCCTGCTTATCTGGATGTAGGCTGCTCAGGAGGATGTGTCTGGGAGAAATACCAAAAGTAGCAGAGCAAGCTAGTGTATATAAACAGGGAGTAAAACCATACTCAATCACATTGATGATATTACTTAGTTAGGTAATGAAACATTTGCAAGCAAAGAACTAAGCTCGGAGAGCACTAAGGATTCCACAATCTTTCCAATACTCTACCATTGAAAGGCAAATGTTTTTAATCCAGCAAATATTGTCTACTATTGAAATATGTGTTATTCAAAATGGTTTATCAGTTGTAAGGGTATTTGTTTTAATTTGATTGGATGCCAGTTATATCTTTTTATCAATACGTTTTAATAGTGTGTTTAATTTTATTCTATTTCATTGTAATTCTATTTTGTCTTTATTATAGTTAGATATGAGACAAAATAATAATTGGCAGTATCTGCCATTGAGCACCACCTAGTAAGTACATTAGCAGTGGAAATGAGAGATTGGGATATTTTTAAAGAAAAGAATATATGCTTTGAACTGAGCGAAGCAGAACAAGACATAAACCTTGATCAGTTTTATATATTCACTAGTAACTGGCATAGATAGCTGTCCCATTCATGTTTACAAAGGAATAAACACCACTCAACACAATAGATCTCATTCCTGAGTAAATATACTCAGAATTATGCTATTACAGTGTTAAATTGCTGTGGCATTGCTTCAGAATAATGCAAACGTACGTGGCAGAGAATGCCTGTGAGACAGAGGGCTCCATGAAGAACTATTGATTAATATCAATAAGTATTTTAATGAATACCTACTTTTCAAGAATCTGCATTGCAAAGAAGTATTCTAGAAAATAACACAGGCTGTAATTAGCGGTTTTCTTTGCTTCTTTTTTTTCTTTTAAAGATGCTTTGAAGTCCAAAGCATTTTTGAAATTCAAATGTAGAACAGAGATAAAGGAATCTGCACAATAAAGGGGCATTAAATCATGTCCAAAAATCTCTCCCATTTTATAGATGTAAATATATGCCATAATTAGTGGCAAAGTAACATGAGTTGGATGGTTAACTTTATTCCCTTTTCTTATCATGTAAAATAGATGTGACCTGAAAAAATATAATGCTGTTTCTTTGTCTGCCCATTGTTAACAGCAATGTATTCAGTATAGTTTGTGTTCAGAAAGAACTCCGCCACATGGTCTCCTCCCACGTCCCTCATGTGTGTCTGCTGCCCTCTTTGGAGGCATGTCAATTCTTTGTCTCCATTCACAAAAAAGCCATTGTAATGTTTCCCCTCCTAAGATGTCATTTTTATTGCATAACCGAGTAAGGCTTGGCAAATCAACTGCCTTAGAGAGCTGAGGTTAGAGGGATGCGGCCTGGTCATTTTGACCTAGTTTTGCAACCTCTTTGGAGGTGAAAGGAAAGCTCTGCTGCTTGCCCTTTCCAGTCACCCGAGAGAAGATCATTCCTGCCCAGGGACCTTCAGGACCTGAATACAAAATTCTTGATACAAGTGTGTTCATTCTGGTGAATGAATTGGAGAGCAGTTGGAAAGTACAGTGGCTTGGCTTGGGCAGCAAAAAGCTGAGCCGTGTGGCAGCAAACAGAGCCAAAGTTCCAGATGCTGCACTTAAAAAAAAAAGAGAGAGAGAGAGAAGAGAGAGAGAGAGAAGAAAAGAAATTGGAACGAATCTCTGCCCTTTGATCACTGTTCACTGGAAGGAGAGGAAGCATAATGCACTCCTATGAATGACAACTCATTGCAACTCATGCTAATGGTAGGAAGCCTCAATGCCATTTAGCAAATGACTCTCCGTGCTCAATTTTAACTACTGCATATTTTGTCTGTTAATTATGCTGCTCCCTCAGGAAATACAGTCTAGGATTTTTCCCCCACCCCACCCACCTGTTCAAAGCAAAAGAATTTCAGTCTCTTTTTGCAAATGCTGCTGGGGTGGGCGGTGGGGGACTAAGCAAATTGTTAAAGTAGGCTGTTGTAAAACACATGCAGGCAAATGCCTTCTTTTCCCAGATTTTAGTCTTTTTTTTTTTTTTCTTCACTTAGAGCAGTCTTGTTTTCAGCCAGCTCTCTTTCAATGCCTGCTGTGGGCCTTCAGCAGGAGCTGTTTGCATGCATCATGTCAAGCAGCTGATAGGCTTGGTATGTAAAATTTCCAGCACTCAGTACTGACAAGCTGCATTATATTGATGGATGAATACATTATATGTATCAACAGGCGCAGAGAACAAGTGTCTGGGAAATGGCCAGTACTATTTTCTAGGATGTTGCTGAAGTATTTGCATTAAAAGGAAATCTTAACACTGAAACACTCATGTGATTTTAGACTATAATTTGCTACTACTCTTGCCTTGAAAATATGATGAAAGCAGGAAATAATCCAATTCTCTGTTTCCAGTTGGATTTAATCATACAGTTCAAATCTTGGATTAGATTTAGATGTTAGATGTTTCTTCTTCCACCTTCCCCTTTTTAATTTGAACAACGTGCTTTTGCAAATGTACTCGCCAACATAGAAGAAATAGAAAAGAAAAATACCATCAAAACTTAAAATTTCATTTCATGAAGTACGCTTATTAAAAGTTACTTTATATAAGCTTCAGTATTAGTACTCATACAAACTCGGTACTAAATGCGCTAAATCAAGGAGTTGAGCTGATTGAGTAGACAGAATTTCTACTGGTCCCAAAGAAATTCATCTCCTGAGTCATATAGAGCTTCAGCATCTTCACTTGGGCCTAGAAATCACACAATGCGGCTCCCACAGCAGTTGTATTATAGGGCAACAATGAGGCTGCCCAGTAGACATATGGAGCATTGCACTATACACCAACTGAAACCCTAACCCTAATAATAGAAGGGTTATAATAATATAATATAATATATTATTATATTATATATTATTATATATAATATAATTTATTTATTTTATTTATTTATTTATTGATTTATTTATTGATTTATTTATTGATTTGATTTGATTTGATTTGATTTGATTTGATTTGATTTCTATACCGCCCTACTCCCGAAGGACTCAGGGCAGTGCACAGCCAAACAATAAAATACATACATACAAAATTTAAAAGTGGAATTAAAATCAAATTAAATAGTTTTGGCCCAGACAAATTAAAACCCCAATCAATTTAAAACCAATTTTAAAATTTAAATACATAAAATACTAAAAAATATTAAAAAATTAAAAATCTTTTATAAAAGAGGGAGAAAATTAGGCCAGGCCCGCCTGGTGAAATAAAAAGGTCTTTAAGGCGCGACGGAAGGTGCGCAGATCCGGGATCCTCCGTATCTCCGGGGGGAGCTCTATAATAATAGAACTCCAACTCTCCCCTCACCATAACTAACTGGAACCTTTGAAGATGAGCAAATCCACCATAAAATGATGCCTGCAACTCCCCTGACTCTTAACTTCAAAGGATACTATGATCAACACTATTCCAGCAAGAATAGCTGTTTCAAAAAATGCTGTGATCAATACTATTCCAGCAAGACAAGAGTAATCATTTCCCATAATCTGTACCTTACCGCCAATAATCCATGACAGGGACCATTGCAATTTTAGTCTTATGCCTAGGTCTGAATCCTGACTCTCTTCGATCTGGAAAATATTTTTTTCCTGTCCCTTGTCTTTTTCCAAAGGGAAAGCATATATGGGATAACAGTTGTCTAGTACAGTATATGTAAATTCAGCCTCTTGAAGAATGGACCTCCTGTTAATATTTCTAGAACCCCATACATGATTTGGTTTTATGATCTTTGCCTCAGTAGTAAAGGCATCTAAGGCAGCGATCCACAACTTTTGCAGCTCGGCAGTCCAGCAGGGGAGAGAGGGGAAGTGGGCCACTCAAGCAGCAGACCATGTGCACACACAGCCCTTGCACAAATGGTAGGCTGGTGCACACATTTGCAGTTCAACTTGCACAAAAGGCAGGCTGGCATGTTGGCCCAACACTCACACAAGTTGAGTTGCATGTATGGGCCTGCATGCGCACTCTGGCCAGCCATTCACATGGCCCAATTTTGAATAGGCCACGGTCCAATAGTAGACTGCGGCCCATGGGTTGGGGGCCCTTGCCCTAAAATACTCATGTTGGAATGTTGAAAACAGAAAACGATGATAATTTACCTCATGAGAGTTGCTACTTAAGACAGTGACTAAGACCAATAACATTCTGATGATAAAAGCAGATCTGCCATTGGGACCAAAATGACTACTCCTGATAGAAAGATGATTCATACACCACAGAATAATTACATTTAATACAGTGTTTTTTAAAATCCGTAGGATGACTTTGCCTGACAAAATAACTGTCCTTATGTTCAGATATAACAATTAGTCAACTGTGACAGCAGATTGATGGCAGATTGATTTCACTATCTTTTAAGAAAAGTCCCTAGCAAATTATTTGAGACTCTACAATATTAAAAGTATACTGGTGGTAGAACTAAAATAAATAAATAAAATGATGGTGAGGTCATGTGGAAGTAGGAAAGAAAGATTATATTACAGACTTTTTCATACTAATTTCAATATAATGTCCGCAAAAATGTTCTTAATAAAAATTGGGTTCATTTGTAAAGCTTTTTCATGTGCTTTACAAGACACATGTTGTTGCAGTCTAAACTAGGGATACTTATTCAGATCTGAGTGTTTGGTCTTTAAATAACCAGGCCCATGAAGATTTGCAAAAAGATGTATTGCTAAGGAAATCTCAGTAATTATATTTCTCTTCCAGTTAGATGCAAATTCTTTGGAGTTAACTAACTAGTGACAGGAATACATGCAAAGCCATCCCAAATCTTCAAACTCCAACCTATGGGCCCTGTATTCATGTTTATTAAAATAATGTGGGAGCATTAACATTAATGGGGGTGGCACCATGACATAGTGGTTAAGACACTGGGCTTGTTGGCTGGAAAGTCGTCAACCCAGGTTTGAGATTCAAGCGTCACATAATGGGATGATCTGTTGTCACCCCAACTCCTGCCAACCTAGCAGTTTGAAAGCATGCAAATGCAACTAGATAAATAGGTACCGCTTTGGGAGGGTAACAGTGCTCCATGACCTCTTGCTGGCCACATGATCACAGATACGTCTTTGGACAGTGCTGGCTTCAATGGTCTAGAAATAAAGATGAACACCACCGCCTAAAATCAGCTATGGTTAGCAGAGTAAAATCCTCAGGGACCCCTTCTTTTATAAACATAAATACAAATTTCATAGAAATAGGTTCAGGCTGATCTTATACATTTTTCTTTGCTTCACTTGTCCCTTTTAATATAGTTGGAAAAAGGACATAATCATTGCAAAGAAATATCTCTTGCTGCACTGATGCTGATTTTATAATAGAAGGGTGATCCTTGGAGTGCTTCAACACAAAGCAGTTCATTGTCTTTATTCTTCTAGACCTCACATTCTTAAGAAGCCAAGCTGAAAGGTGGCCAGAGGACCATGCTTTATTTTAATGTGTTCCTATTGCTTCCTTTCCCATGAAAGGAGGTTATACACCACTTGCTAGATAAAAGAGGAAGTCAGTAGAAATGGGATAGTAGGGGGTTGAGGAAAGGTGGAGATTAGAAATAATTTATTTGAGGGAGAAGGAAAGTCCTCAGTTAACACTAAGTGGAAACTCCATCACTAAGCAATGCAGTTGTAAAGTGTGATATCACACGACCACACCGACTTACAACAGCAGGTCTGGTTACAACCATTAAGCAAATCCTCTGTGGTTGTTAAGTGCGGAGTCATGCGGTCACCATTTGTGACCTCGTGCTGGCTTCCCCATTGACTTTGCTTGTTGGAAGCTGGCAATAAAGTCACAAATGTTGATCATGTGGACTGCAGGATGCTGCAACCATCGAAATTATAAGTTGATTGCCAAGTGCCCAAATCACAATCATATAACTGCAGTGACGCTCCAACAGCCACAACTTTAAAGATCGGTTCAGTGCCCTAGCATCAGTCACTCAACGAATGGTCATTAACCAAAAACAACCTCTTTTTGGGTTGGGAGAAGGGTGTTGCAGAATATAACTGGGAGTCTTGCATGTTAACAAAATTCAGGAGAAAGTTAGAAAGGAAAATATCTGAGTGCTGAGCCTAAAAGAGAACTATGACTTTCTGGGATGAATACATCACTTTTGTTTGAGAAATGTGAGGTGGAAAAGAGGGAATTGAGGTGATGGATAATCCTGAATTATAATAACTACTCAAAATAAATTTTTAATTGCATGCAGTCAGTTTCTGTGTTTTTTAGCCTCCGGAGTTTACTGTTCTCTGGGATTAGCTGCATCCATCACAAATGCTGCCAATCATCCATTTTATGATCACATTTCGGTTACTTTCGCCAAACAACGCTATCTGCAAAATGTTTGGATAATTCTGTTTTATTATAAAATCACTCCATCTTTGCTGTGGACAAATTACAAATGTGGTGTTGGGTGGGAGGATTTGAATAGGAGATTCTTCCTGCAAATTTTCAATACTTTCTCCAAGTATATGCTAATGTGTCTTTATTCTTGCTTTGTGTAAATATTTACACTCTTATCCATTCTCCTCTTTCCTGTGAGCTGCTGAGAAATTTTCAAAGGGTGGGGTTGCCATTTTCAGTGGTTGTGATGAAGAATATTGGGCAATCTTCCTTAGTCTTCAATGACATATATGTCATATACAGTAGCTATATTTTCACGCCTATGAATTTATATCAGTAATCACTCTGACCTGTTTTTACAAGTTGGTGTAATTAAATGAATTATAACTTATTTTCCCAGTGATCTAAACTGTACCAATGCCACCTAAGTTTGTGAAGTTGTCATTATTTGTGGTGGATTATTATATAAACAGTGTATGATATGATTCATTATTGGCATGTGGAATTATTGAATGTTCTCTTTAAAAGCAAAGAGAACCCTAACCCAAGCAAATAAAGGAATATATATTTTTAGCTCTTTTCATTTCAAAGAGTGACTTATTTATATGTATCCAGTTCAAGTTTGGGGGGGTGGGGGTGGAGAGATATTCTTTGCATTGAATAGCTATATCCTCTTAATTCTTTGAGTTAGAAACTGAATAGTTAAAATAGTCAAAAGCTTTTATGGGCCAGGAATTTTGAATCCAAGCCTTAAATGAAATAACCCTGCCTTTCAAAATTACAGTGGAAAGTCACTTGGCAACAAATGTAAACCTACAGTGAGAATCAAGGTGATATATTTCTTTGCATATAACTGGGCTGTTTTTGGTTCCAGGGTGGCCTACATAAAGATAGAATGCTAATTGCTTCTTATATAAATGCTGTTTTCCTTACAGGCGGATTTAAATTGCAACATCCAAGATGATACAGGAGCATTCTATGGTGTAACTAGTCAATATGAAAGTTCAGAAAACATGACAATCACCTGTTCCACCAAAGTCTGCTCATTTGGAAAGCAAGTGGTGGAAAAAGTAGAGGTAGGGATTATTGTTGCTATCTCATACTTGTCTTTTTTAAAAAAAGAAATGCCTTCTTTCAAATTGTCCATCTGAATCAATGCAACTATAGTTACGCTAATATAAAATTGTTGTGGTGTATATTTTCTCCATGTACTTAGGTATCTTTTTGGAAAAAAGTGACTAGGGAAGTGGAATATACTCCCTGCTATTCAACTTGAACTAATTTGCTAGGAGAATTTTCTATAATGAGTGCCCTTTAAAATCCTTAAAGCAGTCTGGCTGTTTGGCAGCTGTAGTATTTTGTATTGCAGCTTGCTCATTAAATCTCTTTGTGGCTCAGATATGTAAGCATGCATCCCTGTAACAGCCTTATTCACTATTTTTGGAGAAGTCTAAAATTCTGTTTTAGCCTACATATTTCCTCTGCTGAATCATAATATAATACTTAGCAATAGCATTTATATGTCGTCCCATAATGCTTTACTGCATTCTCCGGGTGTTTCCAATGTCAGCATATTGCTCCCAAAAGTTTGGGTTGTCATTTTGACCTCGGAAGGATGAGGTCAACCTTGAACCCATCAGGATTGAACTTTGGGCTGGGGCAGAGTTTGCCTGCAATATACCACATTCTAACTATCATGCCACCAGGGCTCCTGATATACTTGCTTTTAGCTCAAGAATTAAGAACTCTTACCTAAATTCTTGGAACTATGAACGATCTGTTTTCTAGATTTGAGAATTCACCACATACTGAATAGGGAATATTTCAAAATCTTCCTTAATGTTCTCAACTGATAAAATATGATGATATAGGTATCTGCAACGAAAGCCCTCTGTCAAGTACACTTTTCCATTACGCTGTATATGAAGCTTCATTTGGCAGGCAAACACACCATAACAATGATGCTTGTTGCTAAAAATGCATCTGTGGCTTATAAAATTTAAACTATTAAATTAAATTGGGATTGGCTTCTGGGTATATCAAGCGGGCATCAGAGTGTTGCACTATTCTTATTTTGCCTTACTGCAATTATCAAAGCACTGCTTAAGATGATGGGTTAAACAATGTAGTATTTTCTAGCATATCTTTTCTGACAAAGTAACATTTCAGCTCCATTGTATGTTTAATTTAGTAGAATTATATATTTAATTAAGAGCCACAGTTGACAATAATATGAATAACTTCAGTTTATGCAAGTGGAGTTTTCCTTGCTATCCTGATTTCTTATATTTTCTCCTCATATACACCCCTAGCCTCTAGTTTTCTTCAGAGTGTCTTCCCCATCTATTTTAGACAATTGAAGATTTGCATTGGGTTGCAGAGGGAGAGAAAGTTAATTCCATTGATGGGTGCAGTCTAAATAAATGCTCTTAATTTGTTATGCCTTTACAGTATTTAATTTATTATATTTAAGCACTGGTTTAATTGAATGAGGAAATAAAATGGTTTCTAAATAATTATTTGCAATTCCTAGTTCAATTTTCAACTTTCTTTTTGTTTTTCTTCTTAGACGGAATATGCACGGTTCGAGAATGGTCGGTTTGTGTTTAGAATAAATCGCTCCCCAATGTGTGAATATATGATCAACTTCATCCACAAGCTCAAGCATTTACCAGAGAAATATATGATGAACAGTGTGTTGGAAAACTTTACAATTTTGTTGGTAATAATTTTCTTCCCTTTGCTCACTGTTCTCTGGAGTGTGTTGGGAGGAGGTAGATGTTTCTTATGATTTGTTTTAATGAGTTAGAAATGCAATGTCCTTCAGCTGAGAGATATGTCATTTCAAAGGAGGGTTCTGATTTTTAATCTTTCCTGATAGGACAATATTTGAAACTTTATGTGCTGAGGATTCAGGGTTTTTAAAATAAAATTTTAGGAGTCAGAAACTGACAATGCTAACCTAGGATTTTTAAACATGATCTGTTGAACAAGCCATTGTGCCTACCTCAAATATGAAATCAAGGCACAATGGAATGATTGCACAGTGCATTAAATGAAACGAAAAGGAAATTGCATTATGGCTTAATATTTAATGTGAATTTAGGCTGATTTGTGCCTTAATGGTAGAAATTTGGCTGTGTTTATACTTGGAGCTTCTTCCTCTTAGCCCTCATCTGTGAAGGCTAGTGGGAATGAGATACCGGCATTCGCATAAGCCTGTTATGCACTAATGTGTGACTATTAATTATGTTAGCAATGGAGTTTACATGTTTTCTTTGGACTGGGTACCCAATGTGTTTATCTCATAGTATTCTGAGTGATGAAGTGGGATTCGGGGAAGAAGCTGGCACCTCTTTAGTACAAAGTGCAAGGAAGGTAATGTTTCCTTACGGCATTTGGCAGTTTACTCATTTTAAGCAATGTTCGGTGTTAGCTATCGATTTTCAACAGGCTGTATTTCAGAAGCTCCTGAAATTCTTGAGAACTTAGAAAGATTGGATACCAGGACATCTAATATAATTCAGATCCATCTATGTAACTTACTATACCTCTGCTTTGCCTCTCTTCTCTTCTCCAATACTCCTAACTCTACCCCCTTTCTGAGCACTTTAGAAATGCAGAGAAGCTCAAATAGCTCAAGCCACCTGTCAGCCTGCAATAGAAGAGTTTCGGAGTTGCTGTGTGTATTCTCTCCGGGCTTTAAAGCAAGATACATAGAATGGAAGTGCTCACTAACAGTTCCAAAATTCTAAATTTGAGTAGGTTTGGTTCCATTTAAAACGTGGTTGGAAATTCAGATTTCCAAATGTTAGGATGGAACAGGTTATTAAAAAGTTAGGTGGTTCTACAATTGCACTATTATATTCTCTTTTATTTTAAGGGGCACAATAACATAGCATTTAAAAACGCTGAGCTTGTCAGCTGGAAATGACAGCCTGGGTTTGAGACCCGAGTGCCACATGATGGGATGAGCTCCGGTTACTTGATGCAGCTCCTAGCAGTTTAAAAGCTAGCAGTTTAACTTAGCAGTTTAAAAGCATGAAAAAATGAGTAGATAAACAGGTAGCATTTTGATGGGAAGGCAACCGCGTATAGTCATGCTGGTCACATGACCACGGAAGTGTCCTTGGCCAATAGTGGCTTTCTCTGCCAAGAAACGGAGATGAGTACTGCCCCCTAGAGTCAGACACAACTGAAAGGGGAAATCTTTACCTTTATCTTTATTCTCTTTTTAAAAAGTAGAAAATATCTGTGAACAATTTTTAAAAAATCTTTATGAAAGCTTTCATGCTATTAGCCTCCATGTTTTCTCAAAAGTATCCTTAAACATCTGGAGCAAATTTTGGAAGAAGGTTGCAGAAGAAAGAACTACTTATGTTCCCACTTCTTTGTGTTCATGGATGCTTCCGACTTTTTTTAATTAACTAAGGGACAGGGTTTAAAATTAGTATTTTCCTTAAGAAAATTCCAAAAATATTCCTTCAGAGTTTGACTTTGAACCAATTCCACCTTGCCTTGTCCTCATGTGAAGGTAGAATTGAAAAATCTAACTTAAAAGCTGCTTGTTTAACAGACCGGGTGAGTTTAGAAATATGTCATTTGTTGATATACAAACTGAAAAAGGTGCCTGCTTTTGAAATGACATCCTTTACTTTTGTGTCCCTGTGGCAAAATACAGGTTTCTAACGTGTCATCTTCTTTCTTTCTTTCTTCTTTTTTTCACGTAAAAAACCCAAACAGGTTGTAACAAACAGGGACACTCAAGAAACGCTCCTTTGCATGGCTTGTGTATTTGAAGTTTCAAACAGCGAACATGGTGCACAGCATCACATCTACAGGCTTGTAAAGGACTGAACAGTTATTTATAGACACCTTTTCAATATGACTCCTTATGAAAATACAGACTGTCAACCTCAACACTAAGTGGCAGTTTTCTTTGGCTGAGCTGTCCCCAACATTTTTCTAAACCTCATTGGAGTGTGTTGATAAATATTGTAGCTGTGAAATTCTGGTACAGTTGTACAAATTCTTTCTTAAAACAAAGTGTTCTTTAAATTTATAAAGCCACCCTTTTGGAGGGAGACTATATTTAAGAATTTGTGGAAGTTTTAACTTGTGTTAGAAAAATGTAAGACAGAACAATTGCCATGGAAAAGCTTAACAGCAGTTATAAGAATTTATGAGGTATTTTGTCTCAATTAATAAAATCATGTTTCTAAGGTGCAAGAATGAAATGAATTTTGACTAAGCATAAATTAGCACACAATTTTTTTTAAAAAAAAAGTATCTTCATAACTGATTACTGTGGAAAATACTGACGAATGTAAATCACTAAATTATTTTATACTGCAACTCAATTTCTGTTTGAAGCCAAATGACAAACTTAGCCTTAAGAAATGCCTGATGGGAATGGACAGGTCCTTAAAGTAGGCAAAATATATTTTTTTTCTTTCCCTCTATATTAAACTAATATTCTAATTCACTGAAACTTTCAAGCAGGTATTGCAAAGCGAGAAGACTTCCTTTCTTTTACTAATTTTATCTAGTGCATTAAAAATATAAAATATTTGTACTAATAAGGACATTTGATTATTTAATTAAAAGATGGCTCGTTTTGCAATAACTAGACAATTACTGAAAGATTAGACTTACAGTGTATGTAATCCTGTGTGCGTGATTATATATTATATGAAATGGTTTTGTTTTGTTTTTCTTAACAACTCAAGAAATTGCAACACCCAAATTACCAATTATATGGGAGAGGGATTTGAAAGTGCTATTTTTTTAATTACATTGTCAGATAAAAGTCACAATTATTGTAATTGGGGGAAAAACAATAGAAGGTCTAAAACAAAAGGTTCATCTGTTTTAATGTCTTTAGAATTCTAAAAATATCTGACATTGACAAAAGACTGTTTGGTTTTCTTAAGCTAGTCTTGCTCAATGTGATCCACCAGGTGAAAAATGCAAAAATTGTGGAAGCCACATTAAGGACTTAATATATTTCAGAACTGTTTTACACTGATTCAGATCACTGTTTCACCTAGCTCAGGTTTATCAGTAGGGATTGAGAGTTATTTTCTAGGATTGTACACTGGCTGGAGAATTCTGGGAGTTGAAGTCCACATATCTTAAAGTTGCCAAAATTGAGAAACACTGCTCTAGGATATCAAGCATTTTTTTTAAAAAAGATCATAAATAAATAAATAAAAATATGAGTCAAGACTGGACCTTCTATATATAATGCCAGCACATGACTATATCCCTTCACAAATAAGTAACTTCTCTGATAATTTGAAATAAATCCAAGGACTGTCAAGCACTTGGCTGCCCAGAATGCATATCTGGTGAGTTACAGGTAGCTTGGTAGACTCTGTCTTAAAATTGCCATGATGAATATAGTTTTCCCCAGCCTTATGCCCCTCCAGATGGGTTGGACTATAATTCTCTGAATTATAACCAGCACTAATGGTTGAGTTTGTGACCAACTTTTCTTTTGTAGACTTCTCAAAATATCTGGCTCAATCCTCCTCCTTGTTGATCATTATCCATATTTTTCTTTTCCTGTCTACAATTCTATTTGTCAGGAAAAGGAACACAGCACTCATGCCAAAGGTTTGAACAGATTATTTGCATAGAGCTTTCTACACAAATCCTTCTCTTAATCTCTTCATTTTGGCTTCTGTACTATAATTTCCCTTCATTTGAGCTTCCCCCCCTCCACTGTTTAGATATACAATATTTCGTATTGCTTAGGCACACAATCTGATTGTACCTATGTAGGGTTGCTTTTCCTTCAGTAACATATTATGTACAAAGTTTAGGTCTTCATACAAGAGCAAGGCTGAAATGTGGCTTAATCAAGATTATATTAGGACATGCAATTTAGGAAGTGTTCATGCTCACAAGATGGTTTGATACATGCTTTAAACAGCTACTCTGATTCTAAGCCATCTCCTTATGTGCCATAATTCAACTTGGTGGTTTGAAGTGCTGGCACATAAAAATATTAGCCACAAATAACAACCAAGTCTGTCTTTGTTTCTTCACTTGTGGAAGCGGATTTACTTGAGAAGTTTCTAGAAGCGTAGCGGTAGATAAATATTGGAATACAATTTCCATCCTCATATACTTGTACTCCAACATCTGAGACAAGTACATAAGTTATCGTTTTTCCATGTTGATGTCAATTTGCACATTTTGTCACTACACCCCCTGCCCTTTTATGTGGGTGTTTTTTGCACCTGGCAGTTCTCCTTCATAGCTCCCATTCTAAATATAAGTTTCTTTGGTTTGGGACTTTTTCAGGCATTTAGAATGAAAATTTAGCCTCCAGGTATCCAAAGCTGAAAATTGAGAAAAGTTCTGGAACGAAATATGGAAGCTTTCCTCCTTCATATTGATTTTACATTCATGATAGAATGACAATAGTTGCTGCTCTTAGCAATTATTCCAATTTCCTAAAGTTTTTAAATTTTGGAGTGGCTCTTAGGGTAAATGCTGTATATAAAACATTTTAGGCACTGTGTTAATAAACTTTCACAATTAAAAACATTTTCATCAAAGACTGAGGATGTATCAAGATACAGTTCATCTGGAAGGTTCTGTTTTACTTCATTGTTGAAGATTATGGTGCTTAACATCTGGAAGGCTGCATAACGCTGTGGTCTTCTGTCCATGATTGCATTCACCTGTCTAGTGGATTGTTGCCACACAGGGTTCCTCAAACATTTTCTAACATTTTCTAACATTACAAAAATAAGAGGTTAGGCCAACAGTAGAATGGAAGGCCAAGAAGAACATTGGAATGCTTGGTAAACTGAGCATCTTTTGACTAATAGATGTTAAGGCAGATGAACCTCTTGGGCTGCAATCAACTGGATGTAAATCCTGTTGAACTAAATAGGACTTACTTCTGGGTAGATATGCGCACAGGATTGTGCTGTCAGTCATTTTGTCTGAGAGCACTAGAACTGAACATTTATGGTTGGGTCTCTTCACGTGTTTCTAACACTAGCTAAGTATCTTAAATAGAAGCACTGCATTTTACCTAGCAGAAGGAGCCCTTTATTTGAAGCACTTGGTGTTAACAGGTCTAAAATTCTCTTTTTAACAGTCGAGTATTATAAGGCTTTGGGTTTTGGATTTATTTATTTGGGGGGGGGAGTTTTAAAACATTAGGATCACTTTTCACACGTGAAACAGATCAGTTTGCAAAATAGGCACAGTTTTTCTTCTTCTTCTTCTGATAATGCAACCTGCAACAAAACATATGTAATGACTATACAGTCTGAAGCATCCTAATGTTTCTTGATGTTCGTTTTTGTAAAAATGTATGGGGAACTGTTTGCCTTGTCAGTCACTTATTTGTGGATGTAAACGATTCATCCCCTGAGCATGTTTCTTCCTCAAGCCTTAAGTCTGTCAAAGGTTTTGTGTGGAATGTCTGGTCCCCCAAACGCTGCCTGGCAACTGTGAGCTCTTTTGTAAGCTGGAAGCATCACTCTTGTTACTGTTATTTGTGGTAGGAACTTCTTAATTCCAAGCTGCCAAAGCATTACAATATGCAGTGCCTTAGTGCTATAGTAGGAGAACCTTCTAGCCTATCATGCCAATCATATGTAGTCCATTAATTTGGTTTATTTATGTATATATAAAAAAATAATCTCCTAGAGGAAACCCTTTTGGTCAAAGAAACCTTCCTACGCAAGTCAATCCCCATTACCACATAGTTGGAATCTTTATACCAAAATGAAACAAAACAGCTCTAGAATTTTCTGCAGAAAGTGAATTGTATAAATAATGCTGCCTTTTCCAATTCTCATGACCAAATACTTAGTTTGTGACTCTGCACTCTTGCATGCAAGTGCCTTTGGTTTTGAAGTTCCAGCTTAGAAAAGTGCTGCCATAATAATGACAAATTGTAGAGACCAAAAATATTTAGAGATCACCATAATGCCTTTGGTTTATTGGACACAGTCAAAACTAACAGGCCTCCGTTCTCAAAGAGTATCTTTTTATAGTAGCATGCTTTTTTCAAATCACGAGAGTGCATAATGCTGGAAACTAATCTCCCTCTTGTTGTTTCTGAGGCTTTGATAACTAGCATTAAAAAGGAAAAAAAATCAGTATTTCACCTTTGCCATGTCTTTCTCCATCCAATTTGACATTTCTCCATAATTAGCAGAAAATTAAGCAAAGGACAAATGTGATTTTATTAATGTACTAACTGGTTCTGTGAAGATGGCCCTCTTCTCCATCTTAAATTTGCACTTATTTTGTTTACAAATTTGAGCAATCGGATGTGTAAAATTGAAAAGCATGAATCAAAATACTTCTGAAACTTAACCCATGCTTTTGGGCACCATTTTTTTTTTTTAGAAATGAATAAGAAATATTGTTAGAAAATCCTTCAGACTGGTATCATTCAGTCTGTTACTGTCACACTACTAGACAGGCAGCTTCTTTAATTAAAGGGTGCCATTTAGCACAGTTTGTGAATTTGAAGAAGAATGCTTATTTCAAGAGACATTGACAATGTTGATACTGATGTACTCATTCAAAAAGGTATGTGTGCGTATGTATATACATGCACACACACACATGAGAAAACTGATAGCAGTAAAACCAAAAGTTGGCAGAGGGAATTGTAGCTATTCTGGTTTTAATAGTTTTTTTTTTAATTAAAATTACTGTGCAGCACAAAGTGGTAACATTTGTGATTGTTCCCCTCTCTCTTTCATTTTCATTCATACTGGTTTTCTTGTTCTTCAAAGATTTAAATCTCCCTCACTCTCTTCTTGCATCTAATCCCCTAAGGATTGCTTGGCCTCAAAAGTAAACTATATATATTTACAACTATTAAATATATCTGCTGAGACAGATATAAGTTAGGAAGTGGGCGGAGTATATTTTATTGCAAAGGAATCATTTTTATTTATTGTCTTATGTATAAATTGAGAAAAAAAAGAAATGGTACAAGTTGTTGCAGTTGAAACATAGCTTTTACAAATGTAATTTTATACTTACTTGAATTCTAGAATGGCTTATTTAGGTACTGTACCACTATGTTATGTAATTTGCAAGTTTCATATCTATTTTCTCACTTACTACTAGAGTCCATTCAGTTTGGCAACTCCCTTGAACTCAATCTTCCTGTTTTTATCACCTTCAAGTAACAGAAATAATTAAATGGAACAAAAGCAACCAAGAATATAAAGGTGATTTATAGAATTTCAAAAGCTGCAAAGTGGTAAATTTTAGTCTTGGTTCAATTCTTAGAGTATGCTTCATTTTCTTTAGTTTAGACATCATGCCAAACCAGGAAGGAAATTTAATGATGTTTTAGAAACTGTTCACACAACAACTGATTAAATCTTTGTTTGCTTAATGATGATTGTCAAATAAGCCATATTTGGCTTCATTCGTGTTACACATTAAAGTGTAACACACAATTTATAAAACATATTGGCTTGGATTTCTCATTCTACTAAATAAAAATAAATCATATTGTAGTGTATAAACCAGTTTTTAAATAATACCAAATTTTATGAAATCTAATCACAATTTTCCAAGTACACAGAATCAGAATCATAGAATGTGAATCAATGTTTTATTCATTCTATACTTGATAAAACATCTGCATTGATGACCTTTTAGTAAAAATGTTTCTTACTCAGCCTGTAGAAGCTGTGCATCATAGAGTTCCCTTTCAAATCTCTGAACAATCATATATAATAATCAAACATAGTAACTCAGAATCATGATTTACCTACTATATTTTATATCTCAAACCATTATTTAAGCTACCTAGAGTTGGCAGTACATACATGAGAGTATGAGGCAGCTATTATTAAGCATGCTAAAATAAAATTAAGAATTAAGCATGCTAAAATAAAAATAGGTGAAATCTCAGAATCCCACAAATCTCACAAGCTGTTATTTGAGAAGGCCAAAACAATATAAACAATTGTTTGGAGCAAGAGAGAAGATTGACGGACATTTCATGTTATTTTATTATTTTTCCCTCACAAAAGATTTTCTGTTCCCAAAAGGCTGCCTGAAAAGGTTGCTGTTCAGTGATTTGGATTGTAGGTTACGGGAAACGAAAACCATGGTTTGGCGTGTTTTCTAAACTGACCTTGTCTTGACAGTGTAGGAAAATCAGTTACAAATCAATCAACTTTAACACATTAGCATCATAGCATCATGTAACATATGTTGTTCTGCTATAGGAGTGGTCAACCTATGGGTTGCAGCACCTTGTTTGCAGTTCCTTGTGGCTGGGCTTGAAATGCGAATCCAGTTTTTGAGGTAGTGGACTGAAGGGTGAAGACTTGCATCCATTTCACCCATTAAAAGTCCTCTAATCCCTCCGCCAAATGGGTTTATTCTTCCCATGTTGGTGAAGGGGGGTTAAGGCCAGAAGAGACAGTATGGGCATTTGCCTAATACTTAAAAACAAGATTGAAAGGTGGGGCCTCACCCACTCTGCCTATACTTTCTACAGCCCCTGGGCATGATGCAGTTACCAAGGACATCAACACAGGCTAAAAACTGGCCCATCTGTGTTCTATAGGACAGAAATACTGACCTACTATTCTGTAGGATAGATATACGTGGCATCCTTGTTCTGTAGGACAGATATACATGATTAATATATGCTAATCCAGGGAAGAACACTCCACCATCTGCAGTAGGTAGTGATTTAATTGCCTACAATGCTCACACCCCAATTCCAATGTAAGTTGGGATTGAAGCACCTGGGGAGGCATTAAAGCATCACTCCCTGCCCACCTCCAAACGGGATGTCCGTAACAACATAAATTGGTTCCCATTTTTGTCTCTACTCAGGTTAATTAATATTATCATTACTATTATTACTTTGGTTACTACATGGTAATCTTGTTTGGTTTTCTTTCTCCCGGCCATTTCTGTGAATAGAAAGACTGAATAATTGAAAGTACAGTGTAAATTTGGATTTGTTGATCTCCAATTGCGTAGATTACTATGGCTGTGAGAGTTTCCCAAAAGGTTGTTCTGCTGTATCAATTCCAAAATGCACTCGCTTCACAAAGGACATACATCCTGTTACCTCCTCACACGGTGGTTTTCTTTTTGTTTCTCATTTTGTTTCCTTTCTTTTACACGGGCCTCTCAATCAAGGCTCCTAACTGCAAAAGAAAAGCCTACAATATGTGCCTGAAAAAGACAGAATAATTTTATAACAGTTTTTAAAACCTGAATAGCCTTTAATTTTTTAATATCAGTACATTTTATGTAAAAACAAAAGGTTTTCTTTCTGTTTCCTTTTTTTTTTTATTTGACACATGCATTTGTTCACATTTGTAAATGACTTAATGGAATTCTCACTTTGTTTATTTGTGTAATGTGTATAAACTGGGTTTGTGACTTAAGCATATTCATATATGGTCAGTGGTTATTTTAATATTGTACTGCTGCTGGTTATTTTGGGAATAGGGGTGTCAATCTGCCTTGGATGACAAAGTACCTCTTGCTTAGGCATTGAGGGAAAGCTCTATTTTAAAAGAAAAATGAACCTCGGCAAATTGTGTCTTAACATATTTTGAAGTTTTCAAAACAACTTTCAATCAAACCTTTTGGCAGTACAGTATTCTTGTATTTGTCGTCTGTGTGTAGGTACTGGTACCTTCTTTGTTTTTAAAAACGTTTTAAGTGTTGGCTTTAAAGTGAATTTATCTTTAGTATGATAGTAATATGAAAATTATAGGGTTTGTGTGCAGAGAATTTTTTTATAAAAGTGCTTTGTAAAAAAAAACTGTATTCTAGCTTTCGCGGTACATATGTGTGATACCTTTAATATCCATGACAGTTAAGTGCAATTATTTCATCACTCTAAAAATGCTATTTTTGTGTCGGTTACTGCAGGTGTTCATGTCTTTGCAAAGTGACACATTTTGATGCCTTCTTGATAAAGTGGTAGATTTTTTTGTAGCTTTCTAGAAAATTTGTATTCCTACAGTATTGATTGGAAATAAAGGAAATAAAATCATTGTCAATTTTGTTTTAATTTGCTTCAATGTTGTCAGTTAGGCCCTGAAGGAGGGACTCTTTACACATGAAGTGTCCCTGATGGGTGTACAGGCAGAGTTTGGCTGGTAGGTCCTGAGATCTGACCCTGACACTTTTATCCTTCTCAAAAGATAAGTGCCTTCAAAAAGCTGGATGTTAAACACATCATAATAAAGGATCTTCCTATTATATATTAAAGCCTTATGAATAACATCTTCCAAGAGTCAAATTTTGGTAAAGAAGTTTAGAAGAATGTTAATCCCATTCACATACTTCAATGGTGGTAAAGAGCAAGGCATACCAACTATATCTTACTTACAACATATCTGTTGAGCATCTCTGTTGTGCTATTGTTGTTATCATTTTGTTGCTTGTATTGCCCTATACCAGGTGTCGGCAGCCTGTGGCTCCAGAGCCGCATGCGGCTCTTTGGGCCCTCTGCTGCAGCTCCCTGTCCCATCACTGGCTGGCCTCACCCTCCCCTCCCAGTCACTTCTCGCCTGGCCTGAGAAAGTAACAGCGATGGCCAGGGATGGAGAAGCAGCTGGGGCTGATTCTCTGGCGCCTTACTCTTGCTGGAGCTTCTTCTGGCCATGTTGGTGCTGGGCATGCCTCGGTCGCTCAGGGAGACGCACAACCTACTCTCCGCCCTGAGACACTGGCCCGACCCAGTCACAACCGACGCCGGCCTCGCTAACATGGCTGGCGGGGTGGGAATGGGATCCGGGAGGTGGGGATGATGGAAAGGGGGATGGGCCCGCGGCTTTAAGAAGCTCAGGGCAGCGGGAAAAAGGGGCCCTGCCGAACCTCGCACACCCACCCCAGGGATCAGGTTCAGAGAAAGCCAGAGGGCCCTCACCAAAGACACTCACCCGTCATCCGGTCTCCCTCCCATCTGTGTGTGTGTGTGTGTGTGTGTGTATCTCTCTCTGTGTGTGTATCTCTCTGTGTGTGTGTATCTCTCTCTCTCTCTCTCTCCCCCCCCCCTCTCTCTGTGTGTGCGTGTGTGTGTGTCTTCTCACTCTCTCGGAAAGCCCAGCAAGCTCTCCTTGGGGCTCTATGCTACCCCTTTTCTTTCTTTTTGGAAATTCAGGCTGTCTGAGGAACAAGCACAAACTGCGGCTGAGGCTTCCCTCCTTCTCCCCCTCCTCCTCTCACAACCCCCTGGCCAGCTGTGGTGAGGCCAGGAGGGTGCACACAAGAGGAGAAGGAGGGGGAGGAGGGAAGCATCCACCACAGCTTGCGCTCATTCCTCGGCCAGCAAGGGAAATTTATTTATCAGAAAACATTTTGGGACTTAAAAATAAAGAGTTCCTAAAATTGATCCAATTTTTAATGAACATAATGACACATCTACCTATTTTTTCTTGCAAGCATGGTGCTTCACCATGCTGTCTTCTGGAAATTTTATTTAGGATTGCACTGCTTGAATACTTTAAGTTTATTTAAGCTTCAGTTCAATCTTTACTTTCAGCAATAGGCTTGTTTTTTAGATTTGGATCGACTTTGCTGTTCCACAAATATTAGGGCCCAACAGTTCATAAAGGGATCTTTTCAGTAGAAATGATTTTCATCTGGGGGTTTCCTGACTCCATCTTCTATGGCAACTCTTCCAAATGCACCAAGTCTCCGGAGCAGATTTAAAGAGGCTTTTAGGGGAAAGCTTGCTTTGTCTCTTTTATCACTAACAACATCCTGTGATCAGAGTTCTGTGCAGGATTTCAAAGTTCAATCTGGCATAGAAGATCAGGACCATAAACCTCCAGATACGGAGCCTGGATCTAGACCCTCAAATGCTGCAAAATAAGGCTGCAAGCTAGAGATGATGATGATGGTGACATGATATCAAGTTCAGGAAACAAAAGCCAAATAATTATAATAAGCATAACACATGAATTCTTTCAAATAAAATGTAACAGAATATGTTGGAAAAGTAGCCTCTACTATTCCCTGACAGATAGAAAAAGACCTGAGACAAGGCCATGCTAGAAAAGCTGAACACATCACTTTGTGAGTTATACAGGGTATGTTCACACAACATATTAAACAATGCTGTATAGTTTATTTCACTGTATGTACCATCCCCAAACCCTGTTCTTAACAGCAGTTTCCCCAGCTGTTTTCTGCCTATATCTTTCATGCAATCATAATGGAGCAGTTTCCATTTTGGTTTAATATTTGACCAGCATTAGAAGCCCAATGTTTGCAAGTTCTGGTAAACAACACCTGTTCCACAGTTGTATGTGTGTTTAACCATAGGAGAGCTATGCCAGGTATGGATAACAATGCATTACAAATATGTGATTTAAAGTAACACATGTACAGAGCTGCAGCAAAAATGGACAGGCAGACTTAAAGCTTAAAATACAGAAAAGAAACTGGAAATGCAAGTATACCTAAACTCCAAAATAAACTAAAATAATTTCAAAAGTCATTTTTCCCAAACAAGAACCCCTCAAAAGCAGGAATAGCATCCAAATACGTGGCTTTTTCCTAACTCTTGCACTGCTCCCTCTTCAAGCTGTGATAAGACCAAACAGCTCTTGGAGGTGTAGAAAAGAGCCTATTAATGAGGTGAGGTTATCATGGACAGGGAGCATCAAAGGATTAAGGAAAGACACATTCCATATATGCAGAGACCTTTAAAAATTTCTGCTTTGTAATATGAATCGATTTTCATTCAAATCTAAACTATACTCAAGAAATGAATTTAGACTATTAGGACATCCCTGGGCGATAGCTATAGGATTTATGTCTAACTAATATATCTGTAAGGGTCATCTTGTAATAGTGGTTAACGCATCAGGCTAGAACTTGGGAGATTGTATACTCTAGTCCTGCTCTAGGCATAAAGCCAGCTGGGTGACCTCTTGGGCCAGTCACTCTCTCAGCCCTAAGAAGGAAGCAATGGGAAATCACTTCTGAAAAACCTCACCAAGAAAACTGCAGGGTCTTGACAGTCGCCAAGATTCAAACAGTAAAAGAATAAAGTATTCTTTTAAAGAAGAATAAACAAGAATAAAATAATGAGATTGCACTGAAAAATATTTTGGCATAATATTTCTGTATTGCTGTGTATCTCAATTTCAACCTATTTTCATGTGGGAAAGGGCCATTGTAAAAAATATAATACTAAAAATAATCAAAACCTTTTCTTATTGCTCTTGCTGTTTTCCTTATAATTTCCAGAATCCTTTCTACTGTTCTCCTTATAATTTCTCTCCTGTGCCAATTGCATATTTTTCCTGTATAGCAGCCATGCAAGAGCCTTGCCAGACCAACATTTTGCTACTCACAGAAGCCAACCAGATGTTTCAGATGTTCAGAAATTGGAGGGGGAGATAACCCTCTCTTTCTGCCATTGTTTTCCTGAATAAAGTATGCATCATCTCCTCCTACCTTTTTTAAAATTTGATTTTGTTTTGAGATTACTATTATATTCATTGCATAGCTTGGTAACAATTGAATGAGCCCATTCTTTCTCTTGAAACGTTGCATAGAGTTTCAACAAATCTGTTTCACTAGAATTAACTTACATTCCATTGAGACAATTGTGTTTCAAAATTGTAAAAAACACTGGAAAATTTCAGAAATGCTGGGCTTTTCATATCTATATTAGTTCAGAGAAGATTATTTGGCTTTGTTCCAAAGTATTTTTGTGTTTCATTCGCATTGACAGTATGATAATAATTGAGAGAACTGTGTATTTAAAGGAATGTTGGAGAAATAATTACACTGACCTACCGTATATGTGTTTTGCATGTTTGTTTTGGTTTTGCTTTTCTGTTCAGTGTTTTTTCTGTCTCTGTGTGTGTGTTTGCTTTGTTTTCTTCTCCAGATCATTTTGGTTCATCCTGGCAAGAGATGCCAAGGGGAGACATCACAATGGACAGATCCAAGGCTTTCCTACTCAAGCTTTAAGTACTATGTTTATTGTTTTCTTGGAGCATCTGATATTTGTTAGAGGCTCTGTTGCTTCTCTTAATTACCCAGATATTATGAATACCCACAATATCTGGCTCACCATGAGGAGAATGTCAGATCCTAGACAGTCTGTGTGGTCACTCTACATGGACAAGAGCAAATGTGAAGACCAACTGACTTTACAGTATAATTGAACACTTATCTGGCCTTGGGGGCAGGCAATAGCAATCTAGAGGTTCTGATGGAAGGCATTCCATTATTGCAAAAGCTTATATGACTTCCCTAGGACATTGCTACCACTCCGTAATCTGCTGAAACGCCTTTAGAATTTCCTAATTGCCTATGATCAAATGATTAATGTAACCAGTCAGGTATCTAAATCCTGGAATTAGTGGCTTAACCATCTCAATACTTTTGGAGCTGGTATAGTGGCACAAAAGACCAATTAAGTTCTTTATACTCAGGGATACACAACCAGAGGTCCTGGGGCTGTGTAATGCTCTGAAAATTTTGGGCAGTGCCTCTCAGACAAATAAGCAAATAAAATCATCAGTATATCTGTGCAAGAAATGAGTGGTGCGGTGGCCTAGAGGTGGAGCTTGCTCCTCACAATCAGGAGGCTATGAGTTCGATCCTGGGTAGAGATTTCTCTCTCTAGGCACGCTAAGAATATATCTGCTGAATATAACTCCACATTGGCGACAGGAAGGACATCGGGCCAGTAAACACTTGGCTTCATTCAGTTGCCCAAACTCTACCCCACAAGGAAATGTGGACTCATTAAAAGAGGATGATGATCTATGCAAGAAACATGACATTGGGTCAACTTTGGATGCTCATAATGGAAAGGTGCCTGTTAGAATTGTCCAGTAAGTGAAGGTCTTATCATGGCTAAGTAATGAGTACCTAAAGAACGCTGGTGCCTTTGGAGAACCTGGCCCCCAGATGATTAACTATTAAATTTAGTTAGCAAAGCAGAAAAATCATCCACAGAATGTGTATTGATTCATAATATCACACACCAGGATCCTGCTGAAGAAAATGGCTGAGAAGGCAGCAGTGTAGCAT